TCTTATAAGAACTAATTACTGGTTGTAAACATGCAGATTTATTTTTTTCTTTTTACACTAAATGTGTGGAATTCATTTTATTTTTTGGGGGGATTTTACTGAATATATTTAATGTGACTTAATCTGTGGCATTAAAATTTATTTACCTGTTGTCAATCGGTAATACACCTAATTTTGTATTTTTAAATAACGGCAAACATCTGTAAAAATACATATATTTAGAATATTTCTGCAGATTTAAATACAACAGAAAACCAGCATATTTTCAAAGATTTCTATTTGTAATAATACACATTTTTTACATAAACATGTTTTGGCCTGTTTTTTGTATTTTTTTTAAAAAGATAAACATACAAATTAATTTTATTTTTTTTTTTTAGCTGTTATCTGTCATTTAACAAAACAAGAAAAATCTGTAAAATAATCATTTAAAACATTATTTACCATTTTTCAATCCTTAATATATATAATTTTGCTTTTCAATAGCAGCACGATCTGTAAAATCAGGATTTTTATTTTGGTCTTTTTTCCCCCAAGTAAACATGTAAATTCATATTTTTAATCCTGTGATCTTACTGGTGATTAAAAGTCCGGTTCTGTTCGTGCAGACGGTTCGAACCCGTCTAGACCCAGTGAGAGAGTGAAGCAGTGTGTCCATAATGAGGAGCAGCAGGAGCAGCGATTACATGACGACGGTGTGATGATGACGTGATCCACCTGTGGAGGTGAACCTGCTGCTTCATGTCACACACCGTCTGTCTGCAGCAGCAGGCCTCCACTAAGGTGTCGCCCGTATATTTAGTCATCAGATCCCAGAACCGCCACAGACCGGGTCGCTCAGCGTCTCCGCTTCAGCTCTGTCGTCTACATCTGATGTTTACTCCGGTTCCTCCTCAGTAGGAACGCCGTCTGTCACCCTGGAACCAGTCAAAGAACTAAAACTGTCCACAACCAGACCTGAACCTGAACCGGAGTCTGATCCTCAACAACGAGTCCAGCAGAACATCTGATGTGACACAGAGAGAAACTAACGGGTCCACTTGTTTAAACTCGTTTTAAATCATTCTGAACAGATTTCATGTCTCTGTGGACAGATGTTTGACACATAATGGAGACGTTTTGAACAAACGTTTTTAACCCATTTTCCATTTGGGACATGTTTTAGTCATTAAAGATCATCTTGGTCCAATTTTAAGTCAATTTTTGAGGAATTTTAAAATAATTTTGAGCTATTTTGGTCAAAAATTGAATAATTTGAAAAACAAATTGGCTCATTTGGAGCAAATTTCACATTTCTGGACAATTTTTGAGTCACTGTGGAC